TTTTTTTTTTTTTTTTTTGTGCACAGGGCGCAACTCCCTCAGCGCGCGCACCGCGCACAGCGGACAGCACTGCGTACGGCGCACAGTGCGTGCGCTGTAGTTCCAGCGCACAGCGCAGTGCGCCCCGCCCCGCCCCGCACTGCGCACTTGTGCGCCGCAACTATGATCCTAAGTAAGGAAAACAAACTAATGACATACTTAGAGGCCTCAAACAAGAAAACAACAAGATGGCGGACACCGTAATGCTTCAAGAGACTCGTCTACCAAACCACAACGATCACCAAAAAATACAGAATTTTTCTATGAGAAAGGCGGGAGGGATCAAGGATGCGGTTTGGTCCTCAGACAACAATTCAAGCAGGAAAGGAACTGCAATCTTAATTCCAAAGACCTCCAAGTTCTACAGTGCAGGGACAGTAATCAACACAGGATCTGATGAAATCGAGGGTAGGCAGTGCTTCATGGACTAAAAATGGAAAGAAGAACTCAGAGTGATCAGTGTCTACGCTCCCAATGACCGTAACGACAGATCTGCTTTTATTGATTCCATAAGTCACCTAATTCCTCCCTTACAAGAATGGTCCATTGGGGGAGACTGGAATGCTATTCTGGATCCGGTCAACGGTCAACGACCGTATATCCAGAGCAGCCTCACCAAAGTCGTCTCAAGAAGCAGCCCCCGTCCAAAAACTTATCTTAGACCACAGCTTGGTAGACCCCTTTCTCACCCTACACCCTACTACCAAAGCTTTCTCACTTGTTAAGAAAAACCACGCCCACCACATGGCATTCCCTCGCATAGATTACTTCCTCATTTCTGACCACCTCATGGGGACAGTCAAGGAAGTGGATGTACTAGCAGTGGCGCCGTACCCAGGGCTAGACCATAAACCAATTGAGCTAATCATCAGCTTCCACCGATATATTCATAAGGGACAGTTTCCACAAACTGGATAACTCTCTCCTACTAAGTCAAGAATACCAAGAGGGGATGCCAACTAGCTGGCAAAATCTCAAAGGAAGGTTTATCACAGTTCAAGACAGATGGGACTGGTTCCAAAAAAGCTACCTCAAACTAGCTGAAACAGGAGCTAGAATATCGAGGAAAATGGCCAACAACAGGAAACGTAGGAAATTTATGCTTGAAACGGCCCTCAGAGTGGCGGAAAACAAGCTGGCCACCAACCCCTCTTCTCCAATAAGTATTAGAAAGGACAAGAGAAGAACTGGCTGTGTGGCATCGATGGGAACTGAGAGGACTCCAGATCAGAGCCCGAATGACTGACCTCGAATTGAATGAACAGATGTCAAAGCATTTCTTTTTAAGAATAAAAGTAAACAACCATGGCTACGCCGGACTCGGACTCGGACATTTCCGGACATGGAACTGGACCCGTGTCCGGTAGTTTCCGGACGCCCAGAATTCCGGACATTTCCGGACCTCCGGACATGGGGGATCCGGACGGTCCGGAAGTCTGGACAGGTCCGGAACTGTCCGGACCATTAAAAAAAATAAAAATAAAAAAATCTGAAAAAAAAAGTATGTTATGCAGAATAACAATGCAAACCACTTTTGCCTCAGAGTCATGTCAGAATTCCTAACCAAACTTCTTGAGTTAAAAGTTAAAAACTATAAAAAGCTTAAAAAAAGACTTATAACTAGTAAACGGTAATGAATTATTAATAATTAAAAAATTGGAGTTGTCTAATAAATTACAATAGAGAGAGAGCATGTCCGGACCCCCCCAAAAAGCATAAACGGGCCTGAAAAGCCCCCCAAACAATTTTGGGGGCTTGGCTCCTCAATGGGGAAGGGTCCTGGACCGTTTTTTTTTTTTTTTTTTTTTCCTCAAAATTTGCCAGATCCGGACCTTCCAGACCGGACGTCTGGATTCCGGACTGAATCCAGACCGTCCGGACGACGGTCCAGATCCGGATCGTAGCCATGCAAAAAACAGATCCAATTCAATGGAGGGTCTCAAGGAATTACCAGGCCAACAGGCAACTCACACAGACAGTGAAGGGACGCTAGAGGTCGCAAAGAATTTCTACGAAAAACTGTATTGATCTAAAACACCAACAACCACGCCTCCCAATACCCGAGCGACCAGATCTAAAATGCGCTACAATACCTAGACAGGACAATATCTGATGAGCAAGCAAGCAAACTGGATAAAACATTATCCATAGAAGAGCTACAATTAGCGGTCCAGAACATGAACAATAATAAGACCCCAGGCATCGACGGACTGACAAAGGAATTTTGGGAGAAATTTTGGCCCCTACTGGGATCGGACCTTATGAATTTCAACAACGACAACTGGGAAAAAGGGGATATGGGCGAACTCCTCAGTACCAATGTGATTACACTTTTTTACAAGAAAGGTGACCGGGAAGACAAAAAAAACTACAGACCAATATCCTTACTCACACTTCCCTATAAAATACTTGCCAAGGCCCTAGCCTTCCGCATAAGCTAGCGCTACTGAACAAAACAAAATTGGATGATTGGACAGGGCCTCAATTTCCGGGAAAAAACTTCTAGAATCTAGAATCAATTGTAGATTGAACTGAAAAAACATAAGTTTAGATCAAACTTTATCTGCTGAAATACAGGATGCTAAGATGCTTCGAAAAAACAAGGATTTGCTAGAAAAAAAAAGAGATGATCTTCATTAATTAGCTAACCTATTTATTGAATGAATTTCAATATACAATGGATAATCCGCAGGAAACCAACATATGTCTGTGTAGGATCCTCAGAGACTATACGTGAAGAGTCCGAACAAAAAACAGAGTCGCCCTTTCTTGGTAAACTAGAAGCAAAACTTATAAAAAATCATTGTGCATAGTGACAGACAAATGCTTCCACAGACCAGTCGGGTTTTATACCAGGTAGGTATATCCTGGACAATGTAATGACCCTGAACGAGGCATCCAAGAAAGTGATGGAAAAAAAAAAATCAGCACAGCGATTCTTTTCTTTCCATTTTGAAAAGGCCTATGATCAAGTAAATTGGGATTTCCTCGATGCGAGTATGGAAAGAATGGGGGTAGGCCCCAACTTCAGAAAATGGGTCCGAGTCCTGTACAACAATGCCTCCGGATGCATCCAGATCAACGGGTTGTTGTCCAAACCTACCTAATCTCCAGGTTGGTAAGACAAGGCGATCCACTAGCACCGCCTATTTTCTTATTCATTATGGAAGCCTTCGCTTCTTCGCTCCGTAAAGACCCATCTATCCAAAGACTGCCTGAAATGAATGTGGGGTCCTCACACCACATCGTATTTCGTACAATAACCATGTTCGCAGATGATTTGACGGTGCTGATACAAGCCTCCAACTCGTCCATGGCAGCCTTAGTTACAGCAATTGAAGCCTTCAGACTGGCATCAGAAACGAAGATTAATTGGGTAAAGACTATAGGGTGGTGGTTATCCGACGAACCCATCCCACAACTGCAAGGACCGGAAAATCAGATGTCCTGGGAGAAACCGGAGGAACCGACGAGATACCTGGGGATACAAGTGACAAAGGATGGCCCCGCTCCCCAGATGGCACAGAATCTCCTAGCCGGTCAAATCAACAGAATGGGGAAAACATTTACGTCACTACTAGGTAGAGCACTTGCCATTAACACCTCCATATTCTCAATGATGTGGTAGCCTCGATTTGGACTATACCAGACCAGACCATCAAAGACCTAAACAACAAAGCCAAAGCCTACCTATGGTCAGGGAACCCTAACAAAGAGAACTACATTCCACAGATACCTTGGCACTTTATCACAAGGAAACCAAGACAGCGGGGACTAGGCATTATTGACCCCAAACAAGAAACGAAAGCCCTGCAAATAAAGTGGGTCATTAAGCTAATTACTAAACAATCACTGCCATGGAACAAACTAGCACAAGAAAACATCAGGAATCTGGCCCCAACGGAGTACCCCACCAACATGTCCGGACAGTTCTGGGTCATGAACAAAGACTGTAATCCAAGATCAGGGAGGAGAAGACAAAATCCGCGCCCCCCCAATTCCAAACAAGACACCTCCCCCCATTTGGACGACCCTTATACGGAAGGAAACTTTGGTGTGTGAATTTTTGTATGTTATGACTTGCCGGGGGAAAGGAACCGGACTGACACTGGCCCTGTTTTTTTCAAAAAAAAAAAAAAAAAAAAAAGAGGTAGCCCCTAACCTTACTGTACCCACAGGATTCGAACCCTCTTTCAACTGCTCAGCGACAGTCAAATTGTGTGTACCATTCAGGTAATACATATCCAGCGCAGGATCATGGGCAGGATCATGGGCTGTGCAGCTGGTGTCTGGGTTCCCCAAGGTAGTACGATTCAAAATCCTCACAGCCCGAGTCTGCAGGCGTGTGAGTGTGTGCTAGACTGACACAGGCCCGATCCAAATGCAGACCAGGTTCATAATAGCAGTGCAGGATCATGGGCTGTGCAGCCGGTGTCCGGGTTCCCCCCTCATCCATACCACACCCCAAAACCACATTCAGGAGATGGTACGACAGCGCACCTGAAGGACTTGGTCCCGAAGCTTGGAAATGTTGAGACCGCTTTTCATTGATGTGTAGACAAGCCCAGCCCCGATGCTTTGGCACGCTTTTAGCAGTCGTCTCTGTAACATACAGAACATCCACCAAGGTAAACCAATGTCAGATTTCAGCTGATCACTTTCATATAGCGTCCAAGACATCATACAACCAATCAATACCAGATTTTCGACAAGTCAAAAGTTATGTCAGGAACATAGCCAAGATCCACAATCTTCGCTCGAAGATGGCCAAGATCCATACCATACTTGCGGCACACTGGTGCGGTACGGTGTGCCCTGCGGAATGCGCGCGCATGTGCATGTGCGCTGTGCTCGCAGCGCATAGGGACGTGCTACCCCTGCAAGGGTGCGCACTGTGCGCCATGCCGTTTTTTGGCGTGTGTGTGTGTGTGTGTGTGTGTGTGTGTGTGAGAGAGAGAGAGAGAGAGAGAGAGAGAGAGAGAGAGAGAGAGAGAGAGAGAGAGAGAG